GCACTCAGCCTGGTGCCTGAAGATTCCGAAGATGCTGAGGAGTTGGAGCACCATGCAGGACTGCAGCAGTGCAAACGGCAAGACACTCCCACCTTGAGAAATAAGTAAGCATAATTTCAGCTTTTGTTCTGATTGCATTCTCACTCGTTACCTCAGCATACTGCGCAATGTTTGTGGTAATATCAATAAAGGGCTGAAGGTTTTGACGTCCTAGTCTACTTAACCTTACATGCTTAGCTTTAGCATGACTCAGACTATGCTACCATTACCTATGATTGAAGATTCCCGACGGAATCCGAAATGTCAGGAAAATAAAACCCTTGTTCCAGTGGTCGCTTCTACTTCTTCTTCTTCTTCTGAATTGCTTCCTAGAATTCGCATGTTAACTTCAATTGGCATTCAGTAAAAATTGGCAAAACGTATGTTAACTTTATTTAAGTACTCCTTTCGTCGTCCCTGAAAAAGGAAAAAAAGGGGCGATTTCTGGAACCAGGTTGAATTTTAGCTGACGTTTCAAAAGTTTTCTCGCCTTGACCATCAGAGCGTGGTGATTGTTCTCCCGCTGGCGTCAGTAAATGTGTCCAACTGCTAGCCTGATGCCTACTGCCCGCGTGTCAATCGATTCTGCCGATCGATTTTTGGTGGCTTTTTGAATTGCCCACGCCCTGGCCCTGAGCGTTTCCGCCCTCTTCACTCGCAGCTGTCGGCTATCGGCCCTGCGTATCTTCCTCCGCCTGGCCTATTCCGTTAGCCTTCTGCGGAGCGCTTGGTAGGCGGGATGAAGGTCTATGGCTCCGTCTAGTGTGTCAGTCGAGGACCAACATTCTAACAGCAATCTGGCCATCTTGTAATTAGCTTGACCTATTATCTTTGCTTTCTCAAAGGCGGACGTGTGTTTCTTCTGCTGCACGTGGTCAGAAACCATAGACAGCTTATCCTTGTGGATGATAGCGAGCTGATGCTCATGCAATCTTGTTCCATGGCATCTGCCCGTTTCACCAACATACCTTGTATTGCAGTCTAGGCATGGTTTGCTGTAGATCA